GCAAGGCAGCCTTCCAAGCCAGCACCTCAGCTTGGCATACGAATTGATTTTTGAGGGTCTTACCAAAAGTTCTTTTTTTTCCCCCCTCCTTAATCTAGAGAGGAACTCTGTTTTTCTAAACCCTCGTGGTGTGAACTTTTAGAGGGCTTATTACCGATGTCCATTTCAGAAGTGGAAATGCTTGATGGCAGCTCTAATAAAAACACAGTGCTTGGGTTCATTTTTCTCTGGAGCTAAAGTGGCCTGTGTTGGCGCACACAGTCTCTGACTGCTTAGACCAACAGAGGAGGGATTTTTGCCTCAGCTTCTAGCTGGCCCTGTCCTTGAGCCTATCTCCACGCTCATGTGCCCCCATTGTCCTCAGCCCATTCCCTGCAGTGTTGCAGGGGTTCAGGTGGGCTAGAGTGTGTTGAGTCTGGTACCAGGTGTTTACATCACTAAAGAAAGAGCCTTTGCTCCTTTCCTAGGACAAAGTGTAGATCTGTGAGTCCAAGCAGGTAAGACGCCACATGTCACTTGTTTTGCCCCTAGAGCACCTTCCTGATGGGAAAACGGTGGGAGTGGTTCTTTGTGAAGGGATTCTTATTCTCTGTTTACAATTCTGAAGACTTTTAATTAAAAGACAGTGAGGTAGACCAGCATTCCTAGGTTTTCTGAACTTTGAATATAAATATGAAAATAAAACATAACTAGTCTCATCTATAATACTCAGGTTTACTTAGCATAGATTACGTCAGCTATTTGACAGCTGCTTGTTAGGCTTGTGCACTGAGCCAGGGATAATTTTAATTGCACATCATAGCTGTGACTTCCTCTGGCCCATTGTGTTTTAACTCATGCTGAGCTGGACTCTCTTCCAGGAGCCAGTTGCTTGTTCTGGAAATGCCCTGCTCACTGACAGTGAGCCCCATATTCTAGCTTCCCTGATATCCCAAAACATAGAATTTTAAGACAAAAAGGAACCCTGAGCCCAAGTAGATGAAGAGGTGGAGGCTCAGGAAAGTGGAGCCACTGGCCCAGGATCTGCCCAGCCCACGGGCCTGGGACACAGGCTCTCAGTCATGCCTGGCTTCCTTTGAGGAGTGTGGTGTTGAGCTGTGCATCGACTGAGCCTGAGCATTCCTCCTCTGTAGCTCTCCTGGGGTCTTCTTTGTGCTAATCCCAAGATTCTGTTTACCCAGGTGGTTGGCAGAGATTCTGAAGAAGCCGAGATCATCAGGAAGTATGTTAAGAACACTCATGCAACCACACACAATGCGTATGACTTGGAAGTCATCGATGTAAGAATCCCTTCTTCCCCCACTTTCTTCTGTGTCCTGCCAGCTTTTCCCTGCCCACTCCTCCAACCTGGGCCTGGGTAGAAAAGAGCAGTTTACTTACTTTAAATAATCCAAAG